TAAATAAATTACTTTTCATTAGATTTTCTGTTATATTACACCCTGTATTACATAGGCTTTAAGTTAATCTTAAACACAGATTCAGGGTAGTAAGAAAGCAAACAATCCACTAAATGAAAAAACGACACAAATTATAGAAAATTTGACATAGATTTTTATCAAGCTTAAATAACCATGTGCCTTCCCGATTAGTCCCCCAATGTTTTCAATATAATCCACACTATTCAATTTAAAGAGACAGCTTCTGGTCGCTACAACTGTTACAATGTGCATGTGGGGAGCTCTTAATCTATTAATTTACAGGCCCACCCTCCAAAACCAGTAGATGTTACCACTACAGGAGACACATTGAGAATATTCACCTTTAAGATTGGCCACAGATGAGAAGCCAATCTCTCAGTCTGTATCTGTGGTTACGACCACCAAATCATTTTATCTTACTTGCTGCATGAACCTGGAAAACATTCCTCCCGAAACTGCAGTGGAAGTCAAGTAATGTAGAGGAAATGACACAGGTTATCAGACGAGGCAGGCCAATATCAAAGGCACCGACAGCAAGGCCAGCATGGCAGTAAGGCAACCTGCAAGCTTCCAACAGGCCCACCGATGAGGGGAACACAGAGAGGGCTGGTCCCCTGGCACCGTTCGGGGCAGTTCCTGCAAATGTCACTGTAACTTCACTGCTAAGCTCAACTCCAACAAGAGACTGAAACTTAATATGGAAGACATTAGCAAACAGCCCTCCTTTCATCTCTGAGAAAATATGGCTTAATAGTTCTGGACAAAGGAGACACGAGAATAACAAGCATTTTATTCTAAAAATATAAAACAAAGTTAACCTTCTGTCTAAAAACGCTGATAAATTTTGTAATTTTCAGTTTCATACTAAATAAAATGTAGTTACTTATAAAATAAATCACCAAATTACTGACTCTATGAAATCCCAAAGGGGTTTCTCAATTCCTCTATACCATAAAATTATTCTAATTTTAAAACAAAGACAAAAATCACAGACTATCATGTTTTCATCAGAACTTTCATCATCAAAGTAAATTAGGATATGTTGGTTGCACTTTTAAGGAACTAACAAAAATAAAGATGGCCTGGGGGCTGGGGATTTAGCTCAGTGGATTGAACGGCTTCTTAGCAAGCGCAAGGTCCTGAGTTCAGCCCCCCAAACCGGGAGGGAAGTGACAAACTTGCCACATACTCCAGTTCGGACACGCCTTAGGCCCCACAAGTGTGCAGGTCCAGGAGCTTGGTCCTCAGTGTGGTGGTGATGACGTGATAGGACCTACAGGGATGAAATTAGGTCACTGGGGACAGCACTCTCGGAAAAAACTAATGTTCTCCTGGGACCCTGATCAGTTCCCAAGGGAGTGGTAAGCTATAAAAAGAGCTGGATTGTGCCAGGCTGGTGTTGCACACCCGTAATCCCGGAACTCTGGGAGGCTGAGGCAGGAGGATCACCACAAGTTTGAGGCCAGCCTGAGCTACGTAGTGAGTTCAGAGCCAGCCTAAACTACACAGCAAGACCTTGGCGCAAAACAAACAAAAAAAATCAATGTTAGTTAAGTCTTTTTCTGTCTTTTTAACAAAAATGTTGGTCCCAGTTTCTCTAAAAGGAATTTGATTCCTAAAAGAAAAATCCTTCCAGGGAACGCATTGTCTTAAAAGTTCAGAGGTTTTAAAAAATAAAAACAAGATCTATGAAGGTCACGCATGTAGACCAGTTTGGCAGGGCAGCCCTAAGCCCTGCTTTGGTCCTGCTGACATTAACTAATGTAGCACTGGCTTTGATTCTCAGAAGGATCCCAACAGATGGTAACTATAGGTTCACCCGAGCTGCATCTCTCTCGGGACTGAAATGGCCACCTGTTCACCATGAACGGCCCTCAACATTTTAGAATACCATCCCAAGAAAAATCATCCCTAATAACAATGCTCCTCCCCTCCTCTCCTGGGCTCCAACAGGAGACAAAATGGCCTCAGTACTGCTCCATCGGTGACTACTTAAACCGAAGCAGACTCTGGGTGCCCTTCTCACATCACGGTGAACTCCCACCTATTAATAAAGACCTATTGTGGATATCAAAAGAATATAGCCACTCCTCCATCATCCAACCTCTGCCCCTTGTATCATAAAGATAAAAAGAGAAAGAAAAATATTCTACATTCCGCAAAACCCTAGCAGAGGTCTCTGACTAAAACAGATCATGGAGAATGGATATTTTCTCTGAAAAAGGATGACAGATTATAAAATTATTGTCAACCACGTTTTTCTATGACCCTGCAGAATCGGGATGGAATTAATGGTACTGGGAACTCAACGGAGACCTTGAGACATGTGGCCTCCTCACATTAAACAGGATTCTGGGCTTAGCCAAACGGGCTTTGCTTTTAAGTCAAGGAAAGGGAAAAGAAAAAACAATTCTCAAAAAAAAACAATTCTCAACATGGAAGCACTAAAAAAAGAAAGAAAAAGAGTAAGGGTACCAGCCCACACACCACACAGGCCTTGCTGCTCTTGCCAAATCCAGAGGCCAATGTCCTACAGCAGGCCTATGTCAGTGAGGCTGTCAGTGAGGCTGTCTGTGAGGCCTGTCAGTGAGGCCTGTCAGTGAGGCTGTCAGTGAGGCCTGTCAGTGAGGCCTGTCAGTGAGGCCTGTCAGTGAGGCCTGTCAGTGAGGCCTGTGTCAGTGAAGATGTCGGTGAGGCCTGTGTCAGTGAGGC